GGAGAATGGGGAAGTCTGTGTTGTGTATTTATAGGAGATTTGGAAGAGAAGATAATGATGTGAATTGGTATAAGCATCTATATGTCAGTATGCTGAGAGGAGATGGGAGATAAAAGACGATAACATGAGAAAACGATAGTTCAGAAACATGACACTTCCCTCCCCTTACTATGTAGTCTAGGCGTATGACGCATTCAACGTCGTACGTATAACATTTCCCATTTCCCTTTGCATAATTCCCATATGAAAATGCAGCGACAAAAACATTCCCAGAGGAAGGAGACACACACATCAGAGCCGCTTTCCTTCTACCATCCCCCCCTTTCATCTACCTCCATCTCATCCACCTCATTCATCCCATCTCATCCCGATCATCATGCCAAAGAATGAAAAGTAGCAACACCAAAACACCTCCCTGCCAAACCACGAAAAAGTCTCGTATCTTGAAGTCCTTGAGCAGTCAATAATCATCCATCAATCAAGGTGACGCGCAGAGTCTATCGCTGGTTGAAGAACCAACTTGTTCTCTTTCCCTTGCTTGAATCGCTGCCGCTGTCACCGTCCTGCTTCTGGAGATTGCCAATGACTGGGAGAACAGGGCCGTCCGCAACGGCACCACCACCGCCACGAAGGGGCTTAGCAATGCGGGAGCCGACGCCGCCAAAGCCAGCGTAGGAGGCGCCGTTAGCGGGCGAACCGAGACCGCGTGTTGAACCTGCTTTTGCGGCTTCGAGACGCTCCTTGACAGCCGTGAGTTGGGCTTCGAAGCTGTAACAAGTTAGCACATACTTTCGGCATAAGCTTACGCTCAACATACCGATGGTTCGCTGCTGTGAGCTTCTCTTGCGAATCTTGGAGAAGGTTCTCAAGCGACTGTATCCGCTCGTTGCGGGCAATTAGTTTACGCTCTGCAATGGCAACTTCCTTCTTCAAGGAGCTGTTCTGCTCGACGAGCTGGCGCTGAACAACAGTGAGCTGTTCAAGGTTGCGCTCGAGGAACATCATCTTCTTTTGCTGCGCGCGGTTGTTCGATGTACGGAGCACATTGTTATATTGCTCGCGCGTCTCGTCCAACGAAATCTCAAGCTCAACAACCTAAACAGGTATTAGCATTCTGTCTCCCACCAAGATATCGATACACTTACCCGTTCACAACGGTTCTGGAGATCACGCATGAGACTCTTCTTCATGTTGTCAAATTCGGCAATTTGCTGCTGCACAGTCTTGCCGTTGATGCCGTTGGCAACGTCGTTAGCAATAGCGCCGCTCTTGATGCGCTGCTGGAGACTCTCGTTCTCAGCCCGAAGCTTCTTGGCTTCTTCAACCAGACGCGCAGTGTCCTGCTTGAGGGTTTCGACAAGTTCAAGGTTGCCCTCTTGGCGAGCCGAGTAAGCGTCAGCAAGGCGCGCCTTGACCTCTTCCTTGTCTTGCTCAGAGAGATTACCCTCGAGGAGCTCCTCATACTGAGCTTGCAGAGTGTCGCAGCGTGCCTCGAGTGCTTCGCGGCGCTTGGCGTGTGCGGTGTCCTCTTCACTCCGTGCAGTTAGGGAAAGCTCTGCTTGTCGCACAATGCCTTGAGTCTCAACAATCTTCTCGCGCAATTCTTGAATGGCATCTGGTGCGATTGCCTCGCCTGCTGAGCTCATCTCGTGAAGCTGGTCGAGTTGCTCGATAATCTTGCGTATGGTACGCTCGTTGTCGCTAAAGACCTCACCACCAAGATCAAAGCCAGCCATCATCTGCGCCATGGCTTCGGCCTTCTTCCTCTTCTTCTCGTCCATGGCAGCAGACGTCTCCTTGGCGTTCATCTTTGCGTCTAGGAGCTGTTGCTTGACATCATCCAGCTCAGCAGTAAGCTCGGCATTGGCCTCCTTGAGTCCATCCATGGTGATCTGCGCCTCCTTGCCCTCGAATTGGATCTTCTCAACTTGCATCTTCATCTCGTTGAGTTCAATGGTGATTCGCTCATTGTCTTTGTTGGTCTTGGCATCGCGGTCCTTGTAGTATTGCAGCTCATCTTTGACGGTTTTGAGTTGATCCTCGACCTTTGCGAGCTGCGACTCCCTCTCGGCGACCTGATCTTGCAACTCGTTCTCTCTTCGCAGGAAGTCATCCTTTTCGTCCTTGTCCAGCGGTATGCTCGGTGTACCTGCGCGGTCCAGGTCCAATCTAGAGTCCGGACGTGGTGTTTCCGCGTTTCTTGTCGATTCCACTCTTGATGGCGTCGCCGGTCGTGCCAACGAGGAAGATTTCTTGTGAGAAACTGTGCTGGTCTCGAGCGGCGGTATCCACTTGTCCTTTGGCACCGTCTCTCCCCCACGCCATTGTGTCACTTCGCTCTCTAGTTGGCCAATGTAGTTTTCAAACGTAGTGACCTGGCCTTGGACCTTCTTGAGCATCGCCTTGAGCTCAGCCGGACTCAGCTCAGCATTGACCTTTGCCTTGTTCTTGATTGTCTTTGCTCGCATACCGAACCGCAGCGTGCCCAGTGTTTCGACGTCATTGTAACTACTTGGAGAGCAGTTGATGATCAAGGTCGTTCGCGAGTTACCACCTAGCGATTCCTGAAGGATACGGGTGAGTTTAGAGTCTCGGTAAGGAATGTGCTGCGTCTTGCTGTCTGTCAAGCAGTTGATGACCATACCAAGGGCACTCAAACTCTTGTTGATCTTCTTGGCCTCTTCCAACGTTTGTCCACTTGCACCCGTTTTGCCAACCTTTTCGGAACCTGCCAAATCGACCAGGAAGAGCTGACCACTCTTCAGTGAGCCTGTCTCGACATTCTTTTGGTTGACTGTGATGACAAAGATAGAGTGCGAGCGCGACGACTCCTGGTTCATGTTCGTTGCTGAGACGGCTCGTGCGGAGCCACCCCTCCTCAGAACCTCGTAGACCTCCTCTTCGCTCGAGACATATACTTCAAGCAGACCCTTGACGTACACACCTCTACTCTTTTCCTCGTGTACTGGCAGATTGTCGTTTTGAGGAACGAGCAAATCTCGGATGCGCTCCATGTAGATTTCCATGTAGCTGACGCGGACGGTATATTCAATATTGCTCGGCGAGGCGAGGATGTTGGCAAAAATCTGCTGGACAATACGCGGGATGACTCCCTTGCCTACTTCATCGTCCATGTCGCTTCCCATCATGGTGTAGGACTTTCCTGCTCCCGTCTGTCCGTAGGCAAAGACGGTACCGTTGTATCCGTTGAGAATGTCGTCGACCGTGGGGCGGATCGAGTAGTTGAAGACATCCTCCTGGCGCGACTTCATGTCGAAGACGCGGTCGAAGGTGAAGGCCCCGGAGGCCTCTTTCGACTGTGCACATGGCCGTCAGCAAATTGCAGTTGAGAGGGCAGCATGGGGCCAGTAAGGTATTTTGGAGGGAGGGGAGGCGCACTTGGATGGTACATGTGTCTTCGGAGTTGAACTCAACAATGGGCTCTCCGCCGCTCGCTATCTCGACCTTGTTCTGGGGGCGGAAGCGGGCCACGACTGCAGCGTGCCACTGTCAGTAAATGCACACACTCGATACATAGACCACGGGGCAGTGTGTTGCGTTGTTTGGCGGGAGTGTGGCGCACCTTTGATGCTGTTGGAGCCCCTGCGGTAGATTTGTTAGCCATGCGTGACCCCTCCTCGCCCGAGTCGGTGAAGGTGCTACGTACGACATGATTGCTGTTGGACTATGGCACAGCGGCCCAGCGGCCTCGCTCGATCAACTCCTCTCGGGCTATGTGGCAGGCGAGAGAGAGTGTGTGCAAAGCCGACGTGCACTTTTCGGGTGGCACCGTCACGTCTCGCAGTGACTCGGCGCGTAGAGGTGGGTAATTACAGCCCCCGCTATGGTTAAGGGGAGCCGATGAAACGGCAACAAGTTGATCCTGCTGGGCGGAGCAAGGGATCCCAGCCTATCGGCGCTCGAGGCACGGGTGCGAGAGAGCGTGTGTGAGTGGGTGGCGAGATATGGCGGTGTTGATGTTTATTGTTGCTTTGGGCGCTGTTGAGCTTGCAGGCCAGGCGTGGGCGTGTGGTGCTGCGGCCAAGGGCCTGCAATTCCCGTAGCGGGACTGCTTTCCTCCCCGCAGCCAACGGCTCTGACGCAGGTCCCGCTGTCTCTCGACTGGTCATAGCACACGTCTCGGGCCACACAGGCTGGGCCGAGTGAGGTAACCAAGTAGCACATACATGTCCAAGAACGCATCCAAGTCCCTGCTGACAGGCTTCCAATTCCCTCTCGCTTCTCCCCTTGCTGCACACCCTTGGGCCGCCTGGCTGTGCCCAGGGCGCTTATGTTACCAGGTCCTGCATTAGCAACCCACCAACAGACCCGCCATAGCTGCAACACACAGCCGTCATCGAGGACAAGACAAAAGGGAGTGCTCGTATATTCGACTACCTAGCCAAACTTGCCCAAATCACCCAGAAAATCAGACCAGACGCCGTGCTGGAACAGCTGTCCGGCAAAAGCCCACAGACTGCCAGGCTAACACAAGTGATATCGTCCTTGCACCTCATAACTCCATACGATGCCATATCATGTCGTGAACTTCATGTCCCTACTGCTGCCCTAGTCTTCCCAGCTCTTCTCTACAGTCTCGCGTACGCGCTTGGTGTACTCCTTGCGGTTCTCCTTGTACAGATTGGATGCTTCGACGTTGGCCGGCGACGACGTATTGGGGTCATTAAGCAGACTATGTCTCTTGTCAGTACTCATACTCCAATGTCTTCGAGGGTGCTGCAGCATGGACTCGCCTCTGAATGCTCGTCAGGATAGCTGCGACATCGTACGTGGGCGACCACCGATTCTGCAGAATGTCCAGACACAGCTCTCCGGTTCCGTATACGTTGGGATGGAACATCTGGCTGATGAACTTGACGCCCGGCGGCTTGTTGGGGTACGCTTCTTCAAAGTGCATGACCAGGCGGAACGTTCCATCTTCAAAGGGCGTGTCGGCAGGGCCTATTATGACTGCGTTCCTACACACTTGTCAGTCCAGAGTGTCCTGGGGGCATGGCATTGTCGACATCATCGTGTCGTGTGCTCCATGCTTGCGGAGAGCCCTACCAGGTCATTACATTATCAGCAACCGGGGATGCAGACACACCGGCCGGAGGATCTGTCTGCATGCGCTATCCTACTTTGTCAGCTCAAGTTACCATGCATGGCCGGCAGTCGTGTAAGTTGCCTGCGCCTCTCCCGAGGGGGGGGGGGGGGGGGGGCAATCACTACGCACCTTGAAGTCGCGCATCAAGCGGCGGCGGGCTGCAGTAGACATTATTGCGCAGATAGACAAGCCGAGCTCGGTTTGGTTGTAGAAAGAAGATATGTCTAGCAGAAACAAAAAGGGCGGGGATCAAGAAGGAGTCTGGGGGGTTGGTGTGCACCGTGTACCTTTGCTATTGGCGTTGCTGTGTTGCACCGATGGTTGCGAGCAGCGGGCAGTTGTCGCTGGCACCTTCCGCTGCTAATCGACCACCACCTTGTCTTGCCCCCAACCCAACGCCACCTCGCGTGTGACGGCCAATCGCCAGACCCACTTAACCTTCATCTTGACGCCGCCACTCCCCTCTGCCTCCTCGCCCTCCTTTTTGCATGACAACCAAATTCCATTCTCACCGACACTCAACAACATTCCCCGGCAACCTGTGCGCTGTTTTTGGTTCATTTATACTATGTGTTTGCCTCTAACCTTGCCACCCGTCTGTGCACACCGCTCCTGCATATGTGTGTCCTCGTACATGCACATTACAGTAATACATCATATATTGCCAAACTCCGTCATGAATACCCCCATAAACCCGAATCTTGTCATGCTCAATGCCCAATACCACGCCATGCCTACATTCTCGTCAAAATCCGTAAAACCATAACGCCCTTATCGCTAATTTGCAAGACCAACGGGAAGCTGTGACCCCAACCAAATAAAAAGAAAAGGGCGGGAAAAATCCCCTTCCGAAAAGAGCTTTCAAAAAGAAATGATAGACATAAGAAAAGCTGCTCATCCCTGGGCATCCGTCTCCTCACTCGCCGGCTGCGCCCGCAAGGCCATGGTGGGTTGCCGCAGCAGACTTCTCGCGGCCCAGGTAGTCCACTACCGGGAACCGAGCACGCCGCTCCAGCTCATCCAGCGGAATGTGCGACCGGATGAAGCGTTCTCGGTCGTTGTATGGGGGCTGGTAGTCCCACGACTCCTTGCGCCCAATCTTCAGCGCACCGCAAGCAAGCTGACGCATGCGCTGGCTGAGTAGAACGTCGTTGTGGATCTTGGTAAAGTCCCACTTCTCACGCGCCTCAGCCTCGAACTTGGCGAGCACCTTCCGGTTGTGAGGCTCCGTCGACATTGCAAGATCGTGAAGCTCTCGCGGATCTTCGACAAGATTGTAGAGCTGTGGCCCGTCCGCGAGAGAAAAGGTGAACTTCCACTCATGGCGACGAATCATATATGTTGGAGTGATGGTTCCCTCGCCCATGTACTCGCCAAACACTTCATCTTTGCCTGGCTTGTCAGACACCAGGTACTCGTATAGACTGGTGCCGTCGAGGGGCAGGCGTTCATCAACCTTGGCCCCAGCCAGGTCAACAAACGTTGGCAGCAGATCCATCGTAGACACTGACTCCTTGACTTGCTTGGGTGCAATGTTGGGGCCATTGATGATCATGGGTACTCTGGAACTGTTCTCATACCAGCTCATCTTGTACCACAGGCTCCTCTCACCAAGCATGTCGCCATGGTCCCCAGAAAAGACAATGATTGTGTCCTTGTCTAGCTTGCAATTTTTCAGAAGCTTGACGAGTTTACCAACCTGGTCATCAACGAAGCTGCAGGCGGCAAAATATGCACGCCGGGCGCGGATCTTGGCCTCGTCTGGTACTGGGTTGTCCCACAGGTCAATGGTCTTGAGGAGTCGCTGCGAATGCGTGTCTTGGTCGGCTTGAGCAATCTCGACCTTGGGCAGAGGAATATCCACACCCTCGTACCTATCCCAATACTCCTGAATCATGGTATAGGGGTCGTGTGGATGCGTCAGAGAGATGGTTAAAGCAAACGGCCGGCGAGTCTCGGGATCTGATCGGACATAGTCGTAGAGGTATTGTTGAGCCTGAGTAGCCATGTTAGCAAGGATATCTGGCATTACTGCGTCTTGCATTGCGTTGCCAAGCTAGAATAATTTTACCTTGTGCATGACATCCTCGTCGTAGTCAAGTTGGTTGGAGCGCACACATGGGCCGGCTTGCATGACTGACGACATGTTGTGGTACCACTCTTGACGCTCTTCTGGCTTATCCCAGTTTACGGACCAGCCCAGGTCTCCAGGGTAGATGTCGGAGGTGAGTCGGTGTTCAAACCCATGGAGTTGATCAGGACCGATAAAGTGCATCTTCCCAGCCAGCGCAGTCTCGTAGCCCTCTCGGCGGAGATAGTGAGCATAGGTGGGGACCTCTGGGCCCAGAATGGAAGCATTGTCGTATCCGCCAATTTTTGAGGGAAGTTGACCGCTGCACATGGTAAACCTGGATGGTGCACAAAGAGGTGAATTGCAGTAAGCGCTTGCAAAGTTGACACCGGTCCGAGCGAGTTCGTCCAGGTGTGGTGTCTTGATCACTGACTCTGGGTCATTGAACTTTAGCATTGGAGCAGCCATCTGGTCAGCCATGATGTACAGAATGTTTGGACGTTTGCCGTCGCCTAGGATGCGACTCTGAGATGCATAGTTTTCGGACTGTTGACGAAGGGTTTGAGCGGAAATAAAGTCGTGGCCGCCTTGCTGACCACCCGGTACACCATTGCCCGTTAGGAAACCATTGGCCCCGTTTCCAAGATGGGTATCATTGCCGTTGTTGGCAGAACCAGAAGTGAAGGAAAAGTCGCCGCCAACAGGGGCGTGGGCCTCTTTGAGTGTTTGCTTGGCAGGGTGAACAGAGGCAGGTGGGGGTGATTCTTGATCTAGCAAGAGACTGGGGGCCATGTCGTTGTATCAATTGTATGTATAGAAGAAGTGTTGGCCTCTTTCCCCGAGTTATATAAGCCAGCGAGCAAGAGGATTTGTATAATAGAGTAAGGTCAAGTTTGGGTCAGAGCGAGGACCGAAGGTGCTTTATAGATGGTGAGGGCGACACGAGGCCCCGGACTAAGCGTCAGAAGCAGCACGGATTGTGGGGAAGGCGCAGCCCTGACGCACTTCACAAAGAAAAAAAGCGGGTGGTGACTTGCTCTGGTCACGCAATCCGACGCAATCCACGCGGCCGAATCGGGCTAGCCGCCTTCCAGCCATGGCAACCTCACCGTTCGAGCCGTGAGCTATTGCAACCACACCGCTGCATCCCGGCGCCTAAGAGAACCAAACGGCCCTCCTCCTCTCTTCCCTGCGGGGCAATGCTTTTCCAGCCAACACGATGCTTTTCTCTGCGTTGAGACTACTCTTGTCTATGCCCCAAAGTCCAAAGAGCGCTTGGTAGTCAGGCCCGGTGAGTTCGGCGTCGCCTGTCCATATTGCTGTATATCAGGGCCTATCAGCATCTCCGCCATCAAATCAGATCCAAGTGGAATAGTGGTTGCATTTGTGCCCGTCGCCCGCGACTATACTCTCCCGCTGCGACTGGCTCACATGGAGCAGCCTCGTGCATCGACGTCGAGGTTGACACGGTGAGCATGCAAGATTTCGTATGCAGGGTAACATCATACTAGCCCATCTCGTCCGGCACCATCTGAAGGCCAAGAGTTGTAGGTCGAAGCCTGGACTGTGGGCACACATATGGGGATCCCCGTGAAGATCTGGAAGCGAGTGAGGTAGGTTGGGCTGGGCACGCTAACCATCAGCCTCAGCCTCCCATTCGCTCGTCACCAACTACCCCAGTTCCCCCCCCTGGACGTCTGCTCTTTTCCTACAAGCCCATCCGTTCCAAACGTCTTTCCAATACTTCGGTCGAGTCTTCGGGACGTCGCATTGAGCTGGCTCCACACAAGTGGCACGCGAGCACTGAGGACTCCTGCAAGCACACGGTCATTCCCGCGCCAGCTAACGGCCGGAGCGCCACGCATACAGTGCCAGTCTGCAGTTTCCATCGCTATCATTGTCTCCCTCCACCCGCCTAGACAGAACAAGCACCTTCCATTGCGTTGGCAAATCAAGACTATTTGCTCACGCTCAGCTGCCGATAGAACCCTGCCGCACCAACGACAGCCATACGCGGCTTTTTGACGACTAGCTACCGAAGAGACAATCCCCACTATTACCAGATAGGCACACAGTGTATCGATGGTTGTACATCGACCTGTAAACTCTCACTCAACTTGAAATATGCTTTCCAGCTTGCACCAGCGGAGCCTTGGCGCCAATTCTTTCTAGTCGCACTGCTATTCAGCATGTGCTGAATTGGATGTGATCAGCCGTGTATCTTTTCTTTTGTCACCACATTTTCTTGGCAAAAGGTATGCAGGAATAATTCGGACCGCATATGTCGTATCTAGACATGGTTGTCTTTCTCGCCACAAGTCTGATGCATTAACGCAACTTGTGACCTCTCCCTGGCTAATCGGTGTGGGCCAATAAGTCAACTAAACTCCTCAAGCCGACTGGAGATACCGGGCGATGGCTTTATCGATCTGCTTCATGTGTTATGTCATAACTGTTGTTCGATTGCACTAGACTCCAGAGCCTCAAGGTCTCAAGGTCTACAAATCGTAGTATACGCGCACTACTACACCTCAACGTACAACAACGTCCACTACACATATCAAGACTCGAAACTGCATTGAATGTACGGTTACAAATTGCTTTCCATAAGCTCTGGATCTGTTTACTGTAAGTAGGCACAGAAATCATGCCTCCTTCAACAACACAGCCAACCCCACATACGCTAGTTAATCTTGTTAGTAAACATTATCATCAATAAGTCATACCTGCATCTGCACCATCTCCCATCTCCGCATACGCTAGACAACTCAAAACTGCTTGATTCTTGCCTCTGAGCATTACTTGGTCATGTCAAAGCAACATCAAGCCACGCTCACAAGGCCCTGCACCCGGACGCGCCCACGCACGAATCGCCGCACACTCCGAAGCGTACTGACCTGCATGTGATCTGAGTGTCCTACATTCAAGCCAAGAAACCTGGATATCGCCAGCAGCTCTTTTGATAACTATCCGTCGGGTCGTCGCAGTATGCACCCGACGACCCGTCGATACTGCGATGACCCGGAAGCAGCCCTATCTTGCCCACTCCGGAACGCGGATAATCGCCACTTCGCCGTCTCGCTCCACCTACCTCGAAGCGAAGAACATCGACTTCGCCGTCCCCCATACCTTCTTGTGCTTCTACTACCCGATTGGCTACCACTCGCTTCCTGACTCACGCACAACACAGTCATTCGGGCTGCGTTGCTCCGCATCTTTCAATGTCTCTTCTACCCAGGCTCCGGCTTTCACCGGTATTGCTGATAAGCCGAGGAGGGAAGGCCGTGTCAGCAGGACAACACACTGGGATCTCAGAAATGTTTGTTCATCGATGTGATCAGACATGCTTATGGCCTTGTTGTTCGGCCGTTCTAAAGAAACAGCACCGTACCTCACGTGGCATGTAGTAACATGCAGCACTTCTTATCTAGTACTATCTCCGATACACAAGGCCATTCATGTGCCGTGGGCATCGTGGATTTCAGTCTGATATTTAGTTCCACACTAAGACCCCCCCAATCATCACGTACTAGAAACGCTACTTGTATACCATGCAAGCCCATAGTCATGGGAACCTGCAGAAAATCGAGAGCGTTATAGACAACGTTTTATTATGCACCAAGATATTACACCGGCTCTGCATGCCAGCGTGGCACCACATTACATATCCATTCTCGTACGATCAAATAACAAGATATGGCATCCACAATGCCGATAGCTAGATTCACAGGTATCGAGTGTCTTGTCCACACCTTTTACTTACTCTTACAAAAAAACACTTAGGTAGTAGTCATTGACAAACAGCAACTCGTTCCTGACCTTTCTTCAATAATGACATTGAAAAAGAGAAGACAAAGTAAGTCGATGATACATGGCTCTTCACAAGTAAACATCTGCTGTTCCCACTTTACCTTTTTGCCTCACGACATCGAATAAATCCAGAAGGCTACAAGTGAAAAAAGAAGCTCAAGTTTCAAAACACACATTCCGAGTCACATATAGAAAATCAGACTTGCACAATCTCATCATTCAAGTGAAAAGAAAAACATGTTCATACGTTCTCCTTCAATTCTTCCCTTCTACCACTGGCAAAAACCTCTTTATTCCTCCCTTTCCCCACCACCTCCCTTCACCTCTTCTGAAATCTCAAGGTTTCCCCCCTTCTTTTTCTCTCTTCAAACTCTCAAGCGCCGAGGCCACCAACTCAAACTTTTTTTTTTACATCTCCGCTACTGAAACAACCGCAAAATAAAAGCAGGAGTAGCAGAAGATAAAAAAAAGTGAGTCGAGGCGCCTACAAAAAGCTACTCTGTGAGCAAGGGAAAGAAGAAGGTAGAAAAGCTACTGAGATATCAAAGAGGGAAAAGATCGCGGGAAAAAAAGAGGAACAAGCCCGAGCAAGCCAACAACAAGAGAAGAATCCCTTTTAGAAGGATAAAAGAAGGAAGAACAAAATCCTGACTCAACAATGAATGGAGCAAAGGATGTAAGGAAAGCAGGACAAAATAAACGCCAATAACACCCTCCATACCCATTTGAAATGCAAAAACCTCCCAAAGTCCGAGTTAATCCAGATTCCATGTGGAAAACCACGTCCGAAACAACGCCTTGATAAATCCCTATTCCTATTCAAACAACGTTCCGATTTTCTCTTCCTTTGAAAGGGGACCAGAAAAAAAAAGAAGTCAAGGCAAGTTAGTCGATACAAATCAACCAACCTAGGTGAATGCCATTGCCGAGAAACTAGCATCACCCTCGAGACCAGAGTCATCTCCAAATCCTTCCCAAGGAAGTTCGTGCGTCTCATCGTCGTCCTCTTCCTCATCGTGAGCGCCGCCATTCTTGCTTGCGCGACCTCGACCAATCTCTACGCTCTCGTCTTCGTCCACAAAGCTACGGATGGTAACCTTTTTGGCCTTCTTCTCGCTTTGACCATTCTTTTCTTCCTCGATGCGGATTTGGCCAGTGAGCTCCTCAACATCTTGTTCAGTCAGATCATCGGCCCGTTGGCCCTCAAGCACATCGTGGAGGCGGTAAATTTGCTTGTCCAGATGGTCAATCCGGCGGAGAAGATCCTGGATCGCTTCGTTGATTGCAACACGCTTGCGCTGTCCGAGACTGGGGTCGTGCTGTTCCAATAGGGCGCGCTGGACAGCTAGTTCAGCGTGCAAGTGAATGCGCTCATCGTTCATTCCCTTTACTACAAGTGCAAGGGCTTCCTTTGGCGACTGTGCGGGACGGAGAGTGGCGTCCGCATCATCCGCAGTCCGTACAGACGCTGGAACAAGCTTAGGGACGTGGAGAGCATCAGTGGCGGTGGTGTATCCTTCGCGGCGGCAGTAGGTGCAGTTGGCGTTGTCGTGCTCCTTGGGAAGTGTCCGTTGCATGTTGATAGTGGTCGTTGCCTGCTTTGATGTACTGAGCTTAATGTCTGGAACAATGAAAGCCGACGTCATCTCAGTGGGCGCACTGCGGCGCCTTCGGCTCGTGTTGCTAACCATTGAAGCGTCGAAAGCAGACTGCTTCGTCTGTGTAGCATCGCCATCCGTATCGAAGTTTGAAAAATTGCCCGTGTCTTCCTCAAACTGCGTATTGTTGGTGCGTTGTGTGGTATCCTTGAGCGAAGACTTGCGGACGAGAGAAGGGCGACGTTCGCTCTTAGCCGAGGCGACTGACCGGACGGTGTCTTCACGAGTCTGGCGTTGAGAGCGTACAGTGTCCTCGCGAGTAACCTCATCTGCTGAAGTAGATTCACGCTTGGCAATTCGATCTTCCTCTAGGCGACGTCGAAGCTGAGCAATCTGATCCTTATCAATGTAGCTCAACTCGGTGAGATCCAAATCTGCGGGAGGCTGGATAGTTGAGGTCTGCCTGGCAGAGTGGTTGTTGCGTGAGATACGAAGGGCTGAACGAGGCGCAAGAGACAAGTCAGTAGTTGACTCGACCTCGCTTTCTACACGTGCGTGCTTGTCGGTAACAACGGGTGCAGAGAAACTTCGAGTTGAGAACCTTGAATGAGCAGTGAACGACTTTCGTGGGCTTTCTTGCTGAGGTTCGTTTGCAAGCCTGCTGTTGCGAACTTCCTGCTGGACACGGTTCTTGATGCGCGTGCGCGTATCTTCTCGGCGATAGCTGGGTCTCCGTTGCAATTGCTCTTGGGTTCCATCGTTTTGCTCCTGAGTCCTCCGAATAGCCCTTTCACGCGACTGGATCTTTCGCTGTAGCTCTGCCTCTCTCCTTGCCCATTGCTCGTATTCCTCGTCTTGCTGTGCCTGGAGCTCCTGAAGTTCGATACGGAGATTCTCGTTGTCCAAGCGCATAGCCTCAGTTGTCTGCTCCTGAGTAGTATCTTGGAACTGTCGGATGGTCTCATCACGTCGATCAACCTTGCTACGCAGAGAAAACTCCAAGCGAGCCCAGCGCTGAGCGTCCTCTTCCCGCCTAGCCTTGATCTCTGCGAGTTGAGACCTCAGAGAATCGTGTTCTGACTTCAGACGAGCAAATTCAGCTTGCTCCTGGCGTACTCGTCGCAATTCTGTATCTCTGCGGCTAAGTTGCTGAGTGTTCTCGTCTTGCTGTGCGCGTACACGAGCCAATTCAGCATGTAGGCTAGCGTTTTCCCTCTCAGTTGCGTTCGCGGCCTGGTCGAACTGTCGTCGAAGCTGAGTAGTTTCTTCTCGGTGCTGAGATTGGTCGTGATCGAGCTGATCACGCAAGGCCTCGTTCTCTGAACGGAGTGTCTCAACTTCCTGGCGAAGCTCCTCATTCTCATTGCTTAGGGCACTCTTTTCATTCTTGAGCTCTTCACATGTCTGGAAAGCCACACCGAGCTGGTTTGCCATGCTCTCCTTCTCAGTGTTTAAACGTTTCTTCTCGATTTCCAGAACAGCAACTTTTCGGTCAGCACGATCAATCCTAGTTCGGAGTGTTTGTACTGTAGCATCGAGCCCTAAAAAAACAGTCAGTGTTGATGTCAATCTCCAGACTTCGCGTCACTTACGCGTCTTCTCAATCTTCCAGCTATTCTTCCCAGCGTCGGAATCCTGCGCGCTGTCACTTCGACGTAGCTTCTCCTGGGCCTGTGCTGTGGCTCGCAGCTCGATCAACTCGAGATCCTGCTCTTCAATCTTCTTCTCTTGTTCTGCACGCTCGTGCTCCATCTCTGCAAGCTTTTCCTGCAGCTGTTGAAGCGCGGAAAAGATGGCCTTTTCCTCGTCTGGAATCGGAACACCCTCCACAGGAAAGTATGAGGGCCGGCGACCACCGTTTGGTGGGGCAGAAAAACGTGATCGTGAAGTCGTTGTCTTGGAGAAAACTGGGGTACCATCATCAAAGACACCAGAGACCAGCTCGGTGAGGTTGGGGAGATCTGGAAGAATAAACGACTGGCCAGTCGCGTTTTGTGTAGTGTTTTGCCTCGAGCGAGGGGTTCCTTTACTCTGCAGGGTATCGGCATTGCCGTCAATTTGAAGTGAAGCCTGGCGGCTGCGGTTGCCCCAACGTGAATTCTTGGTGGAATCAATTGTGACTGTCGGGGGTCGCTGGTCCATAAACGACGATTCATCTTCAGACAGCTTGGCGTGCAGCTGTGAAAGAGAATTGCGCTTACGGTCTTCCTTAGCCAGAGCTGGCGAATTGCGCTTGCTCGAAGGGCGAGGCGATATCGTGTCGAGGTCGTTGCGGGAGGCGCGTCGAATTGCCGCGTCGCGTCGAAGGCTGCTTGTGTCTGCCATGTGTGATTTACGCGACCTGTTTGTCAGGGGTGTCACGTCGTAGAGGCTGTTGAAGGGCGAGCTAATCTTGCTAGGAGTGCCGCGGTTGCTGCGGTTACCACCACGTGCTTGCTCTACAGCCATGCTTTCCTCGTCGGAAATGGAGTGGTCGAAGTCGAGGAACTCCTTGTTTACCATGGATGTGTCAGGCTGGATCTGCTCGGAGCGGAAGGGTGCCCAAGCACTCTGCTTTTTCGCGGTGGAGCGAATGCGGGGGAATTTGGGAAGCGTGTTTGTGTCGTCTACAATGTTGTGCTGTGTCGAGTGGACAATGTCCGGGTTGTCCCAAAATTGGGATGTGTCAGTGACGCCGAATCCCGATCGCTGGGTGGGATTCGAGTCTGTTGGCAATGGCGATGGTGATTCGATGTTTCTTGGGCTGTGACTTAGGCTGCGAGAAAGTTCGCGGATTGCGCGTGCTTTCCCGTCGCTGGTGGGAGGAGAAGATTGCATGTCCAATGTGTGAAGCTGCAATGGCAGCGCTGATGTTGTGGATGATCAAGGCGCGTCGTGAAACACGTATATAGGGACAAGAAGAGATGCTTCGCAAAGACTAGTGAAGCTACACGCTGTTGTGTCCAAAAATGCCAGCCCAAGGGAATAAGACGGCTCGGGGGGAGGGGGGGCGCGTGTTGGTGTTGGAAGGTGCAACGCAGTGTCGCAGATGAATGAAGCGGGAGGGCGTGTTTACCAAAACAACGCTAACGCATCCGAGCCCCACCCACGCCCAGTCGGCTTTGATTGGCCCTCCAGCCCCTCTCCCAAAGAAGGCGTGTAACATCGTCATCAGCGTCGCGCTGGCACGTGACGGCGCTGCGAGAAGACAGAATGTGCAGAGTGAAGTTGGTTGATTGCTTTTTCTCGCCGCTATGATATAGTAATGCATATTCATATTGGAATCAATCCCACCGCTTATGCCTTGCACCAGTCCGCACTCGCGCCGCATGTCATCAGAGGGCGTCCCAGACCATCCCTCTCCTTTCACAAAGTTTGTCTAACCTCAATGTTGTTCCCAGCACAATCACGTGCACCAGCAAAAGCACCAGTGACGCGCCTAGCCCACCCAGACTGAAGTCTCTGCCCATGAGCCGCCCAGCCCAGCTCACGTGTAAGAAGTCAATCGATGCTAGACAGAGCAGCGGGTACAGAACGCGAGCATCGGCCGCAAACGGCTGACAGGGCGAAAGGAGACTAAACGCCTTTGCACAAAACAAAGCCACTTTTGTGAGTCCAAGCGCCACAGGGTGCCCGGATGCTCGATACAATCTTGACGCAATGTCAGTTGGTGGTGGAGGGGGCAACATGAGCCGCTGCGGCGACGGAGTTCTTTCGGCTGATGATGATGGAGGCCGAAGGTCTACTTTCCTTCTGAGAATGACGGCTCCATCCCCAGACGATTCTCTCCGCATCGCCGGTGTATCTGGTGGGCTGGGTGACCGGTCCATGACCGTGGCGCTGAGGTTCGATCGCCCAGGACGGGCATAGTTGACCGAGGTACGCTTTTTATTCGCTTGTGTCGGAGCCGGACTAGGTGTGTCCGCACGGGATATGCGAGGGCTGAATTCGTCAACTGCGGGCGAGTTGGCATATGTAGCGTACTCGTCGAACACCAGCGGTGACTTGAGTACTTGCAAAATCTCTTCGGCGCCAGGACGATTGTCGGGGTCGAGGGCCAGAAGCCGTTTGAGTGATCTGTACAGCTTCTCAGGCAAGTCAGAGCGCACGCGCTGCTCGTCGTCTATGCCGGTCCACGTCGAGATTTCGGCCCTCAGCTCATCAAGATCTTCGCTGTCCTCGTCGATGCCGTCGGCGTTCCGATACGGCAGTCTTCCAAAGCACATGAAATAAACAATCATGCCAAGGGAAAAAATGTCGGATTTGGTGGTAAAGTTGCCGAATGCGCCCCCTGGTTGCTCCTGACGGAGCACTTCAGGTGCACAGTATGAAATGGTTCCAGTAGCACCAGTCGAGTTTCTCGTCGTGTTCATCGACTGTACTTCGCCAAAATCACTGACCAGGACTCGTATTTTACGCCCCGTCTGGTGGAGTAGGCAGTTACTTGGTTTCAGGTCTCGATGAATATAGCCATTTGCATGAAGGTGGCTTAGGCCGGATGTGATGTCCTTGAAAAAAGAAATAATCTCTTCAAAAGGCATCTTACGCGGCCCATGCAGGTTCTCTGGTTCTTCCAGCTGACCTTTTGATCTCCTCCGGAGTCTTTCCTTCATCTGTTCCTTTGTGACTGATTTTTTCGCCGAATCGAGAATGTAGCTGTGGAGGTCTCCGCCATTACAGTACTGCTGCAGGATGAAGGCGCATGGCACGCTCGGTCCAAAGCTCGAAATCTGATAGTCTTCGAGCCACACATGTCGGTATGATACCAGGTTTTGGTGCGATAGGGTTTGCAGGAGCTGGACTTCGACTAATACCTTCTCTAGCCACTCGTGGTCGTCGCCCACTGGCACGCGCTTGCACGCAAACTTGCCAAGCTTGACCCCGTCGAGCTGGTGCTGCACCAGCAGGACGACGCCTTTTCCCCCTCGGCCCAACTCGCGCTCCTCTATAAAGAAATCCTTGAAATAATTCGGACTAAAAGCCCGCGCTGATATACCTTGGCTCCTCTGTGGCTGAGCCGGCGTGCTTGCTATGAACTCGGACCTTGGAGGTGCACCAAAGCCAGTCATGCGCGAAGGCGCAGGAGCTAGTTGTTTATGCGGTGACGGGGGTCGTGACGTCTCAGCAGATGTGGGCTGACTGCGGCGGAGCATCTGGAAGTATGCCGGATTGACAAAGCCATTGTCCGTGGACGTGCCCGGCGCATTGTGTTCATGCTCGTCGCTGTCGTCGCTGCCGTGTGGCGAGGGTGGGCGGTAGGCTCGGTGACAAAAGGGACATGATGTGGAGTCGATGTTGGTTGCGTGCGAAGCGTCACGGAGGGAGAGCTGCCTCGAGTTTTGGTCGTATACGACGACTGCAGAACCGTGGCGCCTGAAGACAGAGGGTGTCAGTGCCGGGCTATTGATTGTGGTGGTGTTCGGTGCGTCGATTGATGTAGAGGGATGACAATGACCTACAGGACGATTTCCCGCGACTCGGCCGGACCATAGGGTATGAGGGACATGATTTGCTTGTCCAGACAGCGCAGCCGGGCGTGCAGTGGTGTAGACAGGCAGTAAAGGCACGTCTGACTGACGCTACGTCAACAGAAGGCCGACGTAATCGCCCTGAGCGGAAAAACGCTGATATGTGTCGTCGCACCACTTTATTGCGACTATGCGGGGAAGCTACTACTGCTATGTATACGACAGCTATGGGAAGCTTCAGAGCGTCAGTCAAGGCAGTACCAGTGCGGGATGCGAACGACTTCGCGAGCGGCTTCTAGGCTGAACATGACCGGTTGATACCAATAGCGCTGATTGTTGTCATGACATGGTGTGTTGTTGTTTGGACAGCTTCCGTGTTTTGGTGGGGGTCAAAAGTGTGGAACGGGTGGGCAAGGGACCTCCCAGCCAGACACCCAGAGCCTCCAGGGTTATCTCAGCCTAGGGTCCGCTGTCTTTACACCGCTTACCGACATCACAATCCTGGCGCTGGACGGCAATTGCTTGTTGTTTTTGTTATTCTTCAACGTTCTGTGGTTCATTGCTACGGCTAGCTGAACGAGCATCTGTCATCCCTCGGTCGACTTTCCACCTAGCGCTCCAGACATTACTTTACTACCCGCTTACAGGTGGCTCTTGAGCAACATGCCGCCCTCCCACACCTCGCCCTTCTCCAGCTTTTGCCAGCCATTTACCGCGCCAACCTCCACACACACCATGTTCTTGTAGCCGTCATCGGGCGAGAAGTCGCCCATGGCCTTTGCCTTTTCAACCCACGGGTTCCAAGTGACCGTATCCTTGACATTGTCGCGAATGACGTCGAAGCGGGGCTTGCCGTCTTCGACAATTGATGTCGTGTCCTGCTTGATGTCCTTGTAGACGCGGTCGACCTCACCCGTAATCTTGAGCTGGTTATCGCTCTGCGTGTGTATCGACGCGTTGAGGACCTTGTCAATATACTCCGTACCGGCAAGGCCCGTAATCACGACCTTGGAAATGTCTTGAACCTTAAAGTACGTGTGCAGCAGGAATTGGAACTCGAAGCTCTCCTCACCCTCGTTGCGCACCGTGAGCACTGCTTGTAGGCTATCCTTGCTCAGTGTGACGCTGTATACAAGGCCAAAGTCGAAGGGCCATGCCTTGCGTGATTCTTCACTGAGTGCCTGGCGATCGAGGCCAAAGTCAAGCTTGACCGAGTCGGAGTCGAGAGCATCTTCGACTGTGGACTTGCCCATGAACTCCCATCGCGATCCACGAGCGAAGCCGTGCTGGGGAAGCGTAGACGTGGGGTGGCCTTCCTTTGGTGGTGGGCCGAATACCTGACGACAGTTGTTAGCCACGGTCGCTCGTCACCACCAAACTCAGCTATGCATATGCCTACCGGGAACACGACGGGGACTCCACCCCTAACTGGCTTCTTGCCCGTCAAGTCAGCAGCTTCGCTCAGCCACAGGTTCTCAGTCTGGCCGCCATTGCTCTTCCAGCTGGTGACTGTGGCTCCATAGAGCAGCACCTCAACACTCTCTCCAGACGGCAGTCTTGCAACCACCTTTTGGCTGCCGCCTTCTCCCACAGTGTCGACCTGGGGACTAGGACCAGTAGCAGCGGGCGCATTTAGCGCAGAAGGGCGGTTCGCACGTTCAACCATGGCGACGTTGGGGCGGTGTTGTCGTTGACGTAGCTCGAGGGGTTGCTAGTAGGAGGGCTAGCTATGATTATGCTCGACACAGTTTACTCGTCGGGGTGGGAGGTGAATGGATTGCTGGATGGAAATAGCAGATTAGATGGGCTCGAGGGCAAATAAATAAACCAAGGCAAGGGCAACTTACGTAGACTAGACAGCAGCGGTTCCGTCTTCGCAGAAAGAGAGTTGGCCTGCGGTGAGAGTGAGGGGCAACGAGCGGTGCCCCACCATGCTCTCGCTGCCAGCAACACCAAGCTTCGACTGAAACGCAGCCCACGTTTCAGCCCAACTCGCCTGCACTCGCTTGCCTTGCTTCCCCAGAGCCTTCGGCCCACCTCACTGGTCAGTCTGCTGACCCAGCAATGGCGACCAGTCTTGCCTGCATATCTGGTGAACCGGCGGCTGCGGGGCGGGCCTGCAGAGGGCGGGCCTAGTAAAGGCCCGCCGAAGTATCCATATCACCGACCCTAGTCCTGGTGATCAGTGGATATATAGTATACTGACTACTACTCCCTTTGTGAGCTGGTCAAGTTGTACTACATGTTTTTCCAGCTCTGGTCAAAGAGGAAGAAGAATACCGAAAATGGCCTTATCCTCTGCCGACGGACTGCTCCGAGCTCTAGGCATCAGACTCTACTGGCGCATCACGAGTTACAAACATATTCTCTCTCCACCCCTTGGCTTATGCTATGCTCAGGTAATCGCGATCTCATGCCTCTATCTCTGATCTGGACATGGGTATTTTCTTCCCTCACAGATAGTGTTTTTGTGGGTACATGAAATTGCCCATGAACTGGACAAAACCAACAAGCATCGCGGCAGTCAACAATGGCTTGGTTGAGTCGGAAGCATCGGAACGATAGAGCTCATGTTGTCTAGTTGCTTGCTAACATATTCGTAAGCCTGGATTTCTCTGACATCTTTTTCGTCAAGACAGCCACGGAATCACTGTAACTGCTACACCACATACACCACATCATACCAAGCTCAACTATGACAAGGCTGGCCGAGAAAACGCTCCCAATGAGCAGTATGAAAAATCTCAAGATCACCATGTTTGACACTGAAATTTTGAAAGCGCTTTGTCAACTTTCGTCATACGCAATCATCGTATCAATCATCGTACAATCATGGCAGACATTTGCTTGACAGTACACGGATCAATGTAAAGCTGTGGCTCTGCTAATCTGACCTGGTGCAAGAGCAATAGCCTATGTAGAACGGAGTTAGAATCTATATTGGCATCGTTGCAAAAGGCACACACATACCCATTTTGAACAACAAAGTAATCCCAAAACACACGAAGCCAAAGCCGACACCAGAAATCAAGAGTGGCCCACTACACGTCATACTTTCGACCTTTTAGCAATCCATAATTCTTGTACCACTCTACTACCACTCCACCTATCCCAATGGTAACCCCGCATTTCCTGATAAAAATAACAATAATATCAAATCACCCGCTTCCGCATATACCCACATGACACAAGACCCCCAGCACCCCAACAACACGCCCATCCAACCATCTTCACGGAAACACATACCAACAACTCATCACCACGGCAACTAAAGATCGCCAGCAAGGAACATGGCAGCGATCCAGCAAATCAGTGTTGGTATCCCCATGCAATATATCCCCCCCCCCCAGCAAAGAAACTAGATAGTCAAACAAGCCACGAGTATATCATATAGCCACTTCCACTTCCCCCCCTTCCAAACACCGCGACTTTACTGCGCAAAAACCTCCCCCAGCCCACCTTTTTCGACTTCGCTTTTGCGGCTTCCCCAGCAGTCATTCGTACATTACGCCCAATCCGGCAATCCCCTTTTTTTCGCTTTCCAACACGCGGGTTAAGTTTATCTCCCGGGCTTATTTTCCGAACCCACTTGGCGCGAGGGAGTTGCGAAACCTTGCTGGCCGTTGCAATCGGCCGGCTCAAGGACGGGGGAATTTCGTCATAGTTGTGTGTCTCGTTGGATTAAGTACGTGTCTGGGTGCTAGTTGCATGGGAAGAGGGTGCGTGTTTCCACATCTCGAGTTGATATGCTCTTGATTGTCAGTTCTGAGGGAGGATCGGGGTTGGAGGGTAGTTGGTTTGAATCTCGGTTTACTACGGTGGAGTTGGGGACGGCTGAATGTGTTGTTTGTTTGTAAATTGGTGATGCGGTGGGGGGTTTTTGGAAGAGGAAATGGCGGGCTTGGTGGGTGTGCTTGGTCACTGGTTGAGATGGTGATGATAATAGCAGTGTTTGGGGTAGTTGTTGAAATGCAAGAAGGAAGAGGATGGGGGAAGAGGGGGAGGAATATGTGTGCGGTGGTGTTACTTTAGGACGTATCGATTGAAGAGGAAGACGATTTGGATGTGATGACCAAGTAATGATATATACCACCTAGATAGTAAACTAATTATAGTCCTCAAGTTCTATTTTTCCCGTCATTCAAATAATCCAGAGACCTTTTTATCCGCTCCCTTATGATTTCCAAATCGACAATACATGCAATGCTATCTTAGCACTCATGACTTGCAGATACCTTTGCTCGCCGCGGGCCTCAAGCTTTTCGCAAGACGTCTTTGTAGTAACTCAAAGTCAGCTGAACATCCTGACAAACCATGTTACAAAGGAGAAAATGCAGATCAAAAGTCTCTAGCTCTTGTCGCCCAGCCTCACCTTAGAACTGTTCGTGGTCATGGCAGTGTGCAATGGAGTCAGGGGGATACTACCAGCAAACCTCCACTGCCGGATTGAGCTAGCGAAGGGGGTGGGGGCCGGCATCTTTGACTACTTTGATAGCTACGAACGACTTGACGCCTCATCATTTTTTTCAAAGAAATCACGTTCAATGATCAAGCACGGATTTAAACTACGCCTCACTATAAAGTCGCCACGTTTGCATTTGACAAAATACCTATACTCGAAAAAAAAAAGATTTTACATCCATGTCCCGCGGCGATCGTCGAGTTCAGTAGATGAGGTTAGATGAGATGAGATCCGATCCGATCCGATACGATCCCAACAAGCTCCACACAGCACTATTCTGTGTATGTAATCACCCTGACGATCGCTGCAGCCCCGCTCCCAAATCAATAGTCTTGCTTGCGCAAAACAACACGTTCTTGTAGCAAAAAAAAATAATTCCATATCTCTTCTAGAGTACTCGAGTCATCTAGACACTGCGTCCCGGACGAGCCGCTCAGCAGCCCTACCGGCGATCCTTCCCAGGCCCCCCACACCTCGGCCAGACCCTTTCCAAATGAGTAGTAGGAGACCCTCCCCGAGAAAAAAAAAATGTCAAATATATCGGCTCTAAAGACGATCCCGCAAGCGATCCGCACATGACATGTTGTCTTTCCGGGAGTGACCCGAGGTTCTTAGGGTTCCGCGGAGTGGCGCCGTGGGAAGTGGCGCCGCAGTGGAAAAGATGAGCGTCGCGGAGGAGACGTCAAAATTACGGATATATTGTATACTCGCTACTCAACGCGACCCACGTACCAGGACCATCGGGCCACACGCAACGATGCGACGGCTGTTAAGGATGTAATGTCGACTTACATATGTAAGTACATAGGGTCTCGAGCCGCCGAAACGGGACCGTCCTGTCAGTGCTGTAGGGGGGGTTCGTTAGGTAGCATTCGCGATATGTAAGTAACGCGGGCCGAGGAGCTGTACTACAGCGGGTCAAGAAGGCATCGAGAGTGGAGAGAAGGTGATTGCGGCTGAGGCATTTCCGGGTTTATGCAAAAAAGGGCTCCACAGTGGATTCGAACGCGTTTGGCAAGTCGAGTTTCCATGGTGTTTCTAGACTTACTTATGCATAGACACGCATGTTTTTTTCCTTTCATGTGAAGGAACTGTGTGCATGCTTCTCGCGTAAACTTTCTCTTGTCCCTCTCCCGCGTGAAGTGTATATTGTAAGTCAAATTAAGGGTCGTCTAGTAGGTAGTTCTTCGTGTTCCGACGTTGTGAGAGAGAGAGAGACTGTGTGGCGTCCTGCCTCTTGGTGTACGGGTATCCCAAACAAACTTCATGTTGCGCTAGCAAAACTATGCATCGCGATGCGAAACTTGGTGCGTTAGCATGACGTTGCAAGTCGTGTTTGCATGCAGTGATATCCTTGCAAGTGGGTGGCCTAATTATAAGTCTGCCAGATCTAGCCGGCGGCTGGATGGTGATATAAGTCTTGTAATTCGCCCTCGCGCGCTTGGACGTCATTTTGCAACCTGGACGAGCGTCTCTCCAGATTAAGGGGATGATGATGCGGTTGGGGTAGCAGACGCCATAGTAGAGTACACTGGACAAGTCTTCGGGCCGGTTGGCGGGGAAGAAAGTCTAGTTCCCTTCTAGCTCGGCACGATGAGCCGAAGGATCGTCGAGAAATTGCGTGCCAGCCAAGACGAGAAACTCGTACGAAACCATGGACTAGTAACCCGAGCGACATCCATTCCCCAAGTCGAACGATGGATTGGCTACGCCGGTGATTGCTACCAATGCAGGCCACCGACAAGGATCCCGAGCGCGCATTTCTATCCCCAAAGGGTTATTATTACCACAGAGTTTTGCCGGTCGGAAACAACTCCAAAAGCGTGCAAACCCCAGGCACGACCACTAGGTGATGCAAACATGATCGACATGTAGACTGACAACAAGCGGCAATTTTCAGCCTGGATGAATGGGCAATGCAATTGCTCTATTAATGATAAGCCGTGAGGTCTCGTTAAAATAATATATGGTATCACTTTTTGAAGGAGAAAACAAAGAAAAAGAAAGCCTCCAGAATTATCGCGTAGATAGAGGTGCTGCTTCGACAAGCATCTCGGTAGTGCTCGCTGTTTCTGCGTCCTTTGTTGATAAAGAATCGTCCCAGTGGGGATTGGGTGCTTGTGTCTTCCATCCGCTCATCTGCACACCCTCGGAACCCTCTACTCGTACATGTATGTCGGTGACAACCTGGATGTCGCGTGTTTCATCGTTGGATTCCCGCGAACGCTTCGTCTCATCCAGGACGTATTCATTCTTCGAGCGTAGTATTTTGCTGCCTCCCTTGCTTCCATAGTTTGCCGGGTAGTTGGGTCGCGAGTATTGGCTGCGGTGTCGGGAGGGGAACGCTCTGGGAAAGTACTTCGCAAGTAGGGGCCTCAGCAGTGGCAGGCAGGCGCAAATGATTCCAACATTAGTTTCTACCGAACTCCAGGTGGCCGCAGGTGGATTATCGTAGGTTTGATCTGAAGAGTTCGAAATCGCAACAAGAGATTGCAAGCGTAGGATTGATACAATGCACACACTACAAGATGCTGCGTTAGTATAGAAAAAACAAACATAACTCTACGGTAAATGCCATGTGACACGCACGTGTACCGGCAGGCACATGCGCGTGTGAAAAAAAAAGGGTTGTAGGAAAATCAAGAGAAACTACTACTTACAAACCACCAACTGCAAAGATGGAAATGAGTCCAATCTTTTGCCTCTTTCCCAAGTTTAGACCGCGAATGACAGGTATTGGCAAAAGAATAATGGCAAAATCGGTCATGATGTTGATTCCGGCATTGGTGAACCACATGGCAAACTGGTTTATGCACGTAGCCTTCTCCTTGGTCCAGAATGCCCTGACAGGTATGCAGGCAAAGATACTGGAGAAGACGGTCCAGATGGTGTAACAGATGACGACAGCCATGGTGATCCAGTTCGCTATTTGGAAGGCTTTTGTTGGGAAAATTCGCCGGTATTGAAGCAACATGGATCCTTTGGTCAATCCGAGAGACAGGTAGTAAACCATTAAACTGGACCAGAAGGCCTGGTGGTGGCTGATTAGCAAGTGCTGATGAGGAGACAGGAAACCATAGTCTTACCCTCAAAAAGATTCCCATGTCACGTTGTGAAACATCGCGAAAGTGCTTTCCCATTCCATACTCTGCTTCTGTTGAGGGTCAGTCTTGATACATGATGAAGGCATGATTGCCTACGTACGGATACCGATGCAGATGGTAAGCCCTATTGAGCAGAGCTAGCAAAGGGGGGTCAGCAGATGCACCTAGCGGTTTGGATATGGGTTCGTCAACTTACCATTGCCAGAGAAATGCCCAAGTCTTCGGCTCCTGCACACCGGAGAATGTAGAGCCGCGTATACAGTCGGAGGATGACGATGAGGAAGGCGAGACCAGTGAAGACGGAGGAGATGATTACGGCCTCACGGCCTCGCGAGTTTTCAGATAATGATCCAGACATGGTGTGATGGTACAAGCCACGAGGCGTCCGGAGAATCGAGTTGTTAATAAGCTCTGTGGGGAAGGCATGAGTATTTTACCCTCGAGTCCCTGAGCCAAGGGTAGGGTGAGAGCATGGTTAAAGGACGTCCCACGAGTGTGCTTAAGCACGTTCCCCGCTTTCTAGGTACCCGCTTGACGGGAACCTTTGCCAATAGTTCCGTGATCCCAACGGATCGCAAGCCTGCGTGAAAAGTTTCCGCGGATCCATGACTCGAAACATGGGCAACAACGAGGAGTGTGAGACAGTCACAGAAGTTGATCCTAGCACGCCTTGTGTTACATGCCGGGAGCTGCCGGGATCTACAGCAGAATGAAACAGCGTGAGCGTCGTGCCTTGGGGGTGGAAATGCTTGTGCACAGTAAGTAACTGCACACAGTCTCACCTCAGCTCACATCGCTGCGATTGATCACTGCGATTGCGGTTGCGGATAAATTGCTGCTTTTCTCAACGGGCTACGAGCATGGTGTGCCTTTGGACAAGATGGTGTCACCATCCATGTAGGCAGACGGATGAATTGTTTCAGGTGAACAAGTACGAGAGGGATTGTGGTTGGCAGGCCTCTGTATGCTGCTTGTGCGGTGCTATGACCGGGGTGTTTGGGGTGTCTGCAGCGTTGGGCATATTGCCTCTTCCGGGCCGGCTTGGGAGCAAATCGGCAGCCGCAGGGATCTGCAGGCAAGCTGGTCGGCGCGAACATACGTATGCAGGAACGTGGCGGGATCTGGAGGATCACAGGAGAAGCCGTATCGAAATGTGGATGATTCGATTCGTGGATCATGTAAGCGAGCTGCAGGGTACCGTCAGCAGGATACCCATCGCACCGATCAGAAGCGCAGGCCCAAATGAAATTTCCGGAGACGCAGCCTGATTCTCGTAGAGTGCATTTGCGTTGTCCCAAATCTTCTGCAAGGCCGAGTGGGCATGCAAGTGTGCCATGGCGGCGGGCGCTGGGCATACGGGTGTACTCTACATAGAGTAGGCTGCTAGTACTCTCGAGCAATGGCTGGCTGAGGCTAGGACCGGCCTACTATGGAGTAAGTAAGTAGAGAAACGGGCTGTTCGCCGGTGCATCTTGGCGCCCTCTGCCACTAGGCGTCCAAAGCACCTGTTAGAATTATGCCATATGCTGAACATGCGTGGCTCTTCAGCATTGACGGCGCCCGCTCCACTCGCGCGCGCTTCTCCAGCCAAAGGACCTAGTCGCCATGCCGCACTTGGCAGCACTCGAACATGTGAAGGATCGATTTGGGAGAGCACAAAACGAACAGGAGCGTGATTACCATCCCAGAGGCCTGGTTGCATTTTGCCTGTTTCTCCAGCCTGCAGCCGACATGAACACGGCAGAGGAGCGGCACACGAGTCGGACTGCCTTTCCCCGTGTGGGAATGGGATGGGCCGTTGGTCGTGGAACGGCTGCTGTCATTGGCCCGACCCCAAGGCCGGCGGCCGTCGTTTGAGCATCCAAGTATACTCTCGTTGTATACTAGCTGTACATACGCCTACGTACGTGCATCATACTATGCCCAGCCGTGTCGTGGTTGGCGTCGGTCGTATTCGTCCAGCTGCAGCCGCCGCCGTTGACCTGGATTCCCCAGGTTGGACAAGGTTTTGCCACAGGCCTCTTGCCCACCACGTGGAATCTGAGTAAGGGCAAAGGCTTGGGCAAAGTCGTCATCTGTCAGAGTCTGATATTGAGATCGTCTGTGTTGCCATGTCGCCAAACGCACGGCGACGACGCTGAGGAGCGACATTCGGTCATGGTGAAAGGGGTCGCAGGCATCGCCCAGACGCTACTAGTCCGCTTCTGCCGCACACTATGCCCCACACGTGAATGATGCTCACTTCTCCACACCAAAAGAGTCTCACAGATCCCCAAAACGTGGCAGCGACGATGACCTGGCTGCCGTCGACCGCAGTGTCAATCAAAAGTGGGCTGTAGGGCATGTCCATCAATCGTTCCCACAGGCCACGTCCTCGCAACCACACGGCCTCGGATGCAGATCTCTCCTTGCCACGCTCCCCAGTGCTGACATGAAGCACCCCAAGTCCGAATACATCCGTCTTGTCTGGGTCTAGCACGCTGCTAATGCTACTGCGCCTCGCTGAAACCCTTCTTCTTACCAGCACAGCTTCAGTCGCGTGGCCTTTTGCGTAGCGTTTCACCGCCCCATATCCACGCTTAACATGCCGCCTGACCCGGTCCTCAACACCATCAACCATGCGAAATGCGACTTGATGTCGGGCTTCACTGCAGCTGTGTGCGAGCTTGGGGAAGCAAGAAGGCCCGGATGTGTCTCATAACATCGAGTCAGAAAAAAGGGCGCAATACAAGACTTGTTGTCATGCCACAAACACATCTCAGACCGGACGGCATGCAGCCTACTAACATTAGGTTCACTAGTAACGGGCCAACGTCTTCGCGCAGAAACCACTGTCACTCCTACCATCAAATGCGCTAAATGATTGACTTTTCGTAGTCAGATGGCGTGCTTCAACGTTGTGCTATTGCTGCCCTACGAATGGGTTTTATTTGCGGATTACACAGCAAATACTATATTTCACATCCAAATCGACCCTTGCTGCATGATGACCACCACTATTCGTGATGGACGTACCTCAGCACCATGCATGCGGCCTTTTGGCCCAATCAAAACCAGAGATACTGTTGTATTCGACAGTCGCCAAAAGCATAAGCTATGGAGAATTGTAAGACTGTTGGAATGCTTTTCAAAACCCCTCATCGATTACGACAATCGAACGCCCTTTGCTCTCCATCAATGGACGTTCTGTAGAAAAGCGCAAAAAGAGTTTTCCGGCAATGACAAATGCAAGCCCTGAATTCCAAGAGGATGCACAGGCGCTGCTGCACTGAGCACCATACTGTTCAATACCACCGTTCCTCTGACACCATCCACACCAGATGTGACACTGTCAGGTGAAGGTCGCACTTGCAGGTATCTATCAGACCTCATAAAGTGTTCCCCTTTTCGGCTCGGTGTGTTGTCGTAGCGAGCCTAGCTCCTGGCTCTGCTGAGGTAGTCAGGATGCCATGTCATGTTAGTTCGTAGTCAAATAGCTGATCGCATACCACACTTGGAGAATAGAGTTTGAGCTTGCATGTTCTTTACTAAGCCTCTAGTCTGCGATAAGACTCAGACTCTTGCTTTGGCCGAACTGACTTTGGCGAGAACTTGGGGAAATGAAGCTTGACCAGAATTGCTTAGTGGCCGTCAAGAATCGGCACACGGCTACGTACAATGAGGATTTTGATCTGTATGAAATCGGATCATGTCGGGTGAGGACTACGGTAGCGTCTTGGCTCATGGTCTTGTACTTGGACCATTCATCGATGCCTCGCAAACACAATCGTCAGTTGCACAACACATGCATGACCACTTACTTTACCCGTGTTTGTAACTAAGCCACCAAGGTGTAGGTGATTAGATTCAAGACTACACACACGTTGCATCCAAATCGGCTCTGAACCATGGCACAAGGTGTTCAAACTAAGAAGAATCAAGCCTGACACTTAAGCCAAAACTGTAGTAAAGTTTATGGGGTGCTAATCCTGAAAGAGCCGAAACATACCAGCTTGAATGTATACCGAGAAACGATACCGATGAGGCCTTCTGTGTATGCGTATTCGTATTCTTAGTCTATCGAATAGACATGGTTCCCACATAAGTAATACCACAGTGTTACACGGGGTTTAGGTCTATACTACTCTAGTTAGGTCCGC